CGAAAGTGGAGGCATTATGACACACCATAGAAGAATAAAAAGTACTACAAAAGAGTACTGCAAAAAAATAGTACCAGCAAAACAAAGAAATGAACAAATTCCTAGAAATATACAAATTACAAAAACTGCCTTAAGAAGAAATAGAAAATCAGATAACTAATAGGAAGTAAAACCTTTCTATAACCTTAAAAACCTACAGTAAAATTACTGTAACTTACAGATCCTACTTATAAACTATCAGTAAAACTTTATGATAAACTTTAGTATAGTAAAACTTACTATAACCTTTTAAATTTACTTATAGTAAAACCTATAACTAGTAAGGAGTAAATCAGTAATCAAAAACTCTCAACAAAGAAGAATTCAGCTGACATGGTTTGGCTGTGTCCCCACCCAAATCTCATCTTGAATTGTAGCTCCCATAATTCCCCCATGTCGTGGGAGAGATCTGATGGGAGGCAACTGAATCAAGAGGGTAGGTCTTTCCGGTGCTGTTCTCATGATAGTGAATAAGTCTCACGAGGTGTGATGGTTTTATAAAGGAAGCTCCCCTGCACAAGCTCTCTCTTGCCTGCCTCCACGTGAGACATGACTTTGCTCCTCATTTGCCTTCTGCCATGACTGTGAGGCTGCCCCAGCCATACCGAACTATGAGTCAATTAAACCTCTCTCCTCTATAAATTACCCAGTCTCAGGTATCTCTTTATTAGGGGCATGAGAACAGACTAACACAAGGACAAAATGGCTTCATTTTGTGAAGTGAATTCTACAAAATATTTAAAGATTAATAACAATCCTTCTGAAACTCTTCATAAAAACAGAAAAAGCATCTATTTAGCATTTATTTAAATGGAAAGATATACCATGTTCACAGAAGACTTAATATTGTATTATAGCAAGACTACCAAAAGCAATCTACATACTGAATGCAATCGCCATCAAATTTCAAAGAGATACTTTCCAGAAATGGAAAAGTGAATCCTCAAATTCATAAGCTCTTGCAAGCAACTCTTAAACAGCTAAAACATTCTTGAAAGAGTAGAACAAAATAGGGAAGACACTTCCCAATTTCAAAACTTACTAAAAATCTGCAGTAATCAAAACAGTACAATATTGGTATAGTGATAATCACAGTGAAAGTCTAGAATAAAAATGAGATAGAATTGAAGTCCAAAAATAAAGTCACACATCTATGGCTAATTGATTTTCAACAATGGTACCAGGAGTGTTCACTGAGGAAAGAACAGTGTCTTCAACAAGTGTGAGGGGACACCAGGATATCCACATGCAAATGAAATGAGTTGTACCGATGCCTTATGCCATTTACAAAAATTAACTCAACACAGGTCATAAACTTATATGTAAGAGACAGAAGTATAAAACTCTTAGAAGAAAATATTGGAGTAGACTTTCACAACCTTGGCTTAGGTGAACCTTCTGAGATAAGACATCAAAAGTGTGAACAACAAAATATAAAACCAGATAAAGTGAGCTTCAAAAGCAAAAACTTTTGTACATCAAAGGACAGTGTCAATGAAGTGAAACAACAAAATAAAGAATAGAAGGAAATATTTGCAATCATGTACCTGGTGAAGGTTTAGTATCCAGAATACAAAAGAATTCTTAAACTCAACAACAAATGAAAAATATTTAAAAATAGACCCAATGAACTTATACAAAGGGCCAATATCCACATGAAAAGATGCTCAACATCATTAAACAAATTCAAATCAAAACCACAATATGATACTATACTTAACACCCATAAGGATGGTTATACTTTAAAATAAAAAATAAATAAATAAATAAATAAAAACAGAAAATAACAAGTGTTGGGAATGCGTTGGAAAACTATGAATCCATGTACATTGCTGGTGGGATTGTAAAATGATGCAGACCACACCTAACTCACATCTAACATCATAATGGTAAAAGGATGAACACTTCCTTCTAAGAACAGAAACAAGAAGAGAAGCCCACTCTCATCATTTCTATTTAAAATACTACTGGAGGTTCTAGCCAGGGCAATTAGGCAAGAAAACAAAAGAAAGGGCATCCACATTGGAATGGAAGAAGTAAAACTATATTTGCAGATTATATGATCATGTATATAAAAAATCCTAAGGAATCAACTAAAAAAAACTCGTGGAACTAATGAAACAAGTTCATCAAGGTTGCAGGGTACAAGTGGAGTATACAAAACTCAATCGTATGTCTATACACATATAATAATCCAAAATGAAATTAAGAAAACAATTCTTTTATAATACTATCAAAAACAATAAAATACTTGCAAATAAATTTAACATAAGAGGTGTACTGTATCTGAAAACTACAAAACATTGTTCAAATTTTTAAAATATCTAAATAAATGAAAAGACATCCAATGTGCATGTATTGAAAGACTTAATATTGTTTAGATGAGTAGTTGAATAATTTGTGCTGAATAATTTGTTCAGTACACCCAAAATTGATCCACAAAATTCAACGCAATCTTTATCAAATCTAAGCTTATATTTTTGCAGAAATGGACAACAATCAAAATTAATACAGAAGTTTAAGGAAATCAGGACAGCTAAAACAAAAAAAACTGGAAGAGTCATACTTCTTGATTACAAGTTCTACTATAAAGCCACCATAATTAAGACAGCAGGGTACTGGCATAAGGCTAGACATATAGATCAATTGGATTAGAATTCAGAGTCTAGAAATAAATCTTTACATTTATGATCAACTCATAGATTTTGACAAGGCTGCCAAGATCATTCAGTGGGGGAAAAAACATTTTTTTCAACAAATGGTGCTAGGACAACTGAATAATCTCATGAAAAAGAATGAACCTGAACCCCCCTACCTCACACCATCCAATAACATTAACTCAAAATGGATCATAACCCTACATTTGAGAGGAAATAGTATAAAAATTCTTACAAGAATATATAGGAGTATATATTTGTACCACTGGAGTAGGCAAAGATTTCTGAGGTATAATGAAAAGCATGTGTAAAAAAAGAAAATATAAATTTGACTTCACCATTAAGAAAAATAAAAAGAAAACAGTGGGAGAAAATAACTGAAAATTGTTTATCTAATAAGAGATTTGTATCAAGAATATATAAAGAACTCTTGCAACTCAATAATAAAAAAGACAACCCAATATAAAATAAGAAAATAAATTCAACAGACATTTCTCCAAAGACGACATGCACATGAAGTGGCCAATAAGCACACACACACAAAAAAGCTCAAAATCCTTAGGCATCAGGAAAAAGGAAATCAAAACCACAGTGAGATACCATTTCATACTCACTAGAATGGCTGTAATCAAAAGAACAGATAACAAATACTGATGAAGATATGAAGAAATTGGAAACATCATACACTGTTCATGGAAATGTAAAATGGTGAGGCTGCTTTGGGAAACAGTCTGGAAGTTTCTCAAAAGGTTAAATAGAATTAGCATATGAGACAGCAATTCCACCCCAGGTATACACCCAAGAAATTTAAAACCCACCTCCAAAGAAAATATTACTCATGAGTATCCGTAGCTGCAATACTCAGAATAGCCAAAAAGAAGAAACAATCTAAATATCCTCAACAGTTAAATCGATAAACACAATGTGACGTATCCATAATAGAGATTAGTAGGCAACAAAAACAATGTATTAATTCATGCTACAACAGGATGAACCTTGAGAACATCATGCTAAGTGAAAAAAGCCAAACGGAAAAGACCACATATGTATGACTACATTCATATGAATTGTCCAAAATGGACAAATCCTTTCAAATAGAAAATAAATTAGTTGCTGCCAGGGGCTGGGTAAGGGGGCACTTGGGAGTGACTGCTAATGTTTACAGGGTTTCTTTGGGAGTTGTTAAAATATTCTGGAATGAGCCAGGCTCGCACCTGTAATTCCAGCACTTCAGGAGGCTGAGGCTGGTGAACCGCTTTGAGCCAACAAGCTCTAGACCAGCCTGGACAACATGGTGAAACCCCATTTCTACAAAAATTCCAAAAATTAGCAAGGTGTTGGTGGCTCACGCCTGTAGTCACGGCTACTCAGGAGGCTGAAGCTGGAGATTAGTCTGAGCCCAGGAAGCAGAGATTGCAGTGAGCCAAGATCCTGCCACCATACTCCAGCCTGGGCAACAGAGTGAAACCCTGTCTCAAAAAAATAAATAAATAAAAGTTCTGGAATTAGATAGTAGTTGATATGGCTTGGCTCTGTGTCCCCACCCAAATCTCACCTTGAATTATAGTCCTACAATTCCCATGTGTTGCGGGAGGGACCTGGTGGGAGGTAATCTGAATCATGGGGGTGGCTTCCCCATACTGTTCTCATGGTAGTGAATAAGTCTCATGAGATCTGATGGTTTTAGCAGGGATTTCCGCTTTTACATCTTCCTCATTTTCTCTTACCGCCACCATGGAAGAGGTGCCTTTCGCCTCCCGCCATGATTCTGAGGCCTCCCCAGCCATATGGAGCTGTTGGCCCAATTAAACCTCTTTTTCTTCCCAGTCTTGGGTAAGTCTTCATTAGCAGCATGAAAATGGACTAATACAGTGGTGGTGGCTGTGCAACTTTGTAAATATACCAATGTGAAATTACTATATAATACAGTTGTGAAAAAATGAATCATACGCTTCAAATGAATTGAAGGGTATGTGAATTACATCTCAAAGCCATTTAAAAAAAAAATAAAACTAAACACTCTCAGATAAAAACCACATTGTTAATACTGTTTCTTTTTGTGTAGTGTAGCTGCTGATCATTTTCGTATTATTTTTTAATGCCCTGTGTTTCACTGCAATGTGGTTTTCTACTGAACATGTATTATTTTAACAATTTTAAAAAAAAACAACTAAGTTTCCTGAAACCACAAAAGGATATATTAAACTATAGTGCTCTTTACAAAAGACTAGGATTTTGACCTAATGTCTAAGAACACAGTGAAGTTTTTTCATATATGATAAAAGAAAATAAATTCATACTTACTTTACTGCTTGCGCTCCTGGTCTTTGCACAATTAAGGTGCTAAATTCTTCTATTACAATATCTATCAGCTCAGCTTTTTGATGATTTTCTCTTAGAACAACAGACATACTTTTCAAGTGGACAAAAAACTTCAAGGCTTCAAACTAAGGTATATTCAGAAGAATAAAATGAAAACATATATACATATATATACACACACACACACAACACAAATAATCTTATTCTTATAGTACATTCATTTCAAAAACAACCAAATATTTTAAGAACATTTTATCTCTTCAAGAATCATCACAACACCAAAAAAAGAGATAATATTTATCCCTCCCTTAGAAATTAAAATAAATGCAATTATAGACCCAGAAAAAAGATCACAGAACAAGTCAGTAACATATATTTTTGAAAGGATTAAAAATAGACATATGTAACATTAAATTCCAAAGCATAAGGTCAGGTACAGTGGTTCATGCCTATAATCCCAGCATTTTGGGAAGTCGAGGCAGGCAGATTGCTTGAGCTCAGAAGCTGAAAACCAGCCTGAGCAACATGGCAAAACCCTATCTCTATTTAAAAAAAAAAAAAAAAAAAAA